GGGGGGGGGGGGGGGGGGGGGGGGGGGGGGGGGGGGGGGGGGGGGGGGGGGGGGGGGGGGGCAAGAAGGGGCGGGGTTACAGAAGACAGAGAAAACGGTACGCCGGGATTGCGCCAATTTGTTTGGTACGTCGGTGGAGCAATTTTTGTGGGCGGGATATGCCATGAAGGAGGGCCATGACCAAGGATGTTGCGGTTTTTGCTGGAAAATTACAGGGTTGTGGGTTGGGGTTGAAATACCCATTGCTCGCAATACACGAGTGCGTTTTGAGCGCTGGGAGGGGGGGGGGCGGGGGGATTCACAGACGGTGGTAATGACCTAGCCGAAAGGGAAAGGGTCGCACTGTAGGTCATCCGATCCGTTGGCCAGACAATAAAAGGCGTGTGATGAAGGACCAAATGGCAGCGGAGGCACCGGCGGCAACCTAGACCCTCGCTCCGAAGTGTGGTGACGTCTAAGCAGTACATATATGGTCAATACTGATGTGTAGGAGCATGTCCGTGTGCCCTCCCTTGCTCGACTCTGCTCATTAAGACTGCTGGGGAGTTTCAGTTTCCAACACACACACGACTCATGAGCACCATCGATCAAGAGGATATGCACACATGCACACATCCACCAGGTGTGCGCCAACGTGTCTCTCATCTACTATATCCATGGTGCAGGCCTACCCTTCGACACGTGCAGGCCTATCCTTCGACACGACATGAGCTGCTGGCTCTACATCAGCTGCGTACAGCAGAAACGAAGCCGCCAACGAGAGTCCTCTTCCGATGGCGGGCTTGTAGTTTACGGCTGATTCAGGAGCATACACAACATGAGTTTTTTCACTGAATAAATCCTGGTCTAGGATTTAGTACACCATAATCGACTTCGTAAGTTGCGAGGGAAGGGATTGCTGTACCCCTCTCGCGATAAAAATACCTCAGGCAGGAACCGCAGGAGGGGGTCCAGCTCCCCCCTCCTACGTGACCCCGGTTGGGTCGTCTAGCTGGTAGAAGTGGAGGATAGGGGCCAGAGGGGCAGACGTCAGAGTCTAATGATGGGAGAAAAAACACAAAAAAAAATAAAACTCGCTACTGTAGATATATTTGGGGCAAAAGCTGAATTGAGCTTTAACCACTAATGCGGAGCAATACAGCAGTACCACGCAATGCAGCAGTACCACACAAAAGTCTACGTCTGCTTGTTGTACGTCTTCTTCATGTCGCGCATGGTCTTGTCGAAGCGTTTCCACAACTTCTTCCCGTCGGTGAACAAGACCGGCGCTGCAGGGCACGTCGAACAACAGCAGTGGAACAGCAGTAGCACTTCACTGTCTAGTTTCAGCAGTAGAGGCTGAACGTTGTCTAGTTTCGCAACACCCATGACATGCGGTGGCTCGTGGTGTGTGTGCGGTGTGGCTGCGCGTGGTGTGCTGATATAGCGTGTGTGCGTGCGCGAGAGCACGCGGCGCGACCCGCAAGAATTCTAAGAGCGATTGCGCGCGCACGCGAAACGCCTCCGAGAATAATCGAACACCTCGTTTTTGGAAAAGACAGCGTAAGAAGTGGGTTGTAGTTTTTCCATATCTTCTTTTTGGGTGGTCCGTTTTTGAGAAAAGAGACAGCCCAAAAAAAGACTACGTAACAAGTGGCCTAAAGAAAGAGAAAATGAAATAACAAGATCGAGGACAAAAAGGGACCACGCCGAAAAAGGCCCCACCTACTGCTTGTTGTTCCGTCAGCGGCCAGACGTGCAGTTTCCCGTGGTTGGTTGTGCTCTCACCTTACCTTGTTGCCTGTGTGGGCCAAATTATAAAGAAACATGCACGCGCGGTGCAATCTGGTAGCCCCGTCAAAAAGAACGCATCTGCTATAACCCTTTCTTGCGGAACAGCAGTATACTGCTACTGTAGCAGTAGCTGTTGCCTTGGGGATCGGTAGGAATGACACCGAAGGGCCCGGGATCCTCTGCTCAAGCAGCTACACTAAGGTCATGTCCCCTGTTTCATCCTTCCGCAGGGAGTTACATCTCTCCGCGCCGTCTAGAAGGAACTATTCTCGACGAACGTTCCGTCTACAAATCTGAATCCTTGAACACTAAATAGCGCACCCTAGAGGTTCTCATATGCAGATAATAGATACAACAACCTCGGAGCTAGGCAAGCAAGTAATTGTCGAGTCCCTAGTTGAGAGTAGACTTTCGATGACGTGGAACTCCAAACAGCACAATTCACCCTCCGACACCTCTCACTCGATGGGTCGCAGGACATCGTATGACTTCTCAAACGAAAAGAAGACACGGGAAGGAACTGACTGGGGCTGTGTGGAAAAAAACTACAACCGGAACAAGGTCGAAACCTAAGAAAAGAAAAATGAAGAATGAAGAAAGTAAGGAACCCAGATCCTGTCCCCTGTTTTGTCCTTCCGCGGGGCGTTGCATCTTCTTCGTGCCTTCTAGAAGGAACCATTCACTTCGAATGTTCCGTATACACATCTGGATCCAATAACAAAACGTGCTCTCCTTTGCTTCCTCGATATCTGCTCTTTGCCTTATCGACCCCTTCGCGTACCACCGAGTGCTTTGAAGTGGCTCAAGGCCACCCCCAGAACATTTTGTGCGTACCAGCAATTGGCAGTGATTGATATATATTGTAAGGCACACCTGCTCATTCTCCCTGCTTGTCCTGCACCAGGAACAGGTTGTTGTTCTGCCCAAGCATTGCTTGTTCTCCTCGAGCAGATGTCGAAGTAACAGGTTCCGCTTTACTTTATGCCTATGCTACTCATGGCCTATCTGCTCTTACTCAGCGAGTAGAATGGGCCTGGGCCTACCTGACGGGTAGGTCTTCACAGGTAGACGTTCAATATTGGTTACTGGTTTCTTAACGTCGTAATATGTACTTATTATGTCCCAACGAGTCCATCTCTATCATAGAGAAGAGTCTAAGATAGATCATTTGTAATGAATAATTCATTTTGGTTTCTTCTCCGATTGGTACACGGCTAATCTCAAAGCATGACGGAGATCAGAACGTGTACATAGCGACACCACAAGTAAGCAAATGTGTTGGATGTGCCGGACTGACATATAACACGACTAAGATGATCCAGGGAAGGTGAGTATGCATGCCTTTCCGAGTAGTGGCCTACTCCTTCATTATACTTCTCCCTTCAAACTTTCTCGCCAGAAATGTGTCCATAATTCCGTCAACCCCCATCAACCTCGCATTCTCTCTCTGTGTTCGCCATCGGGGTTGGGTTTTCGTCGCTTGGCAACGACGTTGTAAAACAAGCTGATCACATCGTGAGCTCGGCAACCAGGTTACGATAGCTACTACCGCTGTTCTTTTTCGCCTCTGTGTCTTTTTCACGGTCTTGCGGCACTCAGTTGGTGGTCGAGTTGATTATGTTGTGCGGGGTCGAGAACCCTCACTCCGCGCAAAGGATATGATCGCACCATGTTGTGTTAAATTGGCCAAGCACCCTCGAGGCAGTTACGTAATGCATATTTCCGTCTCTGGAAGTGACAGCACCATAAAATAATATTAGTCACACGCAGCAGTGTCATCCGTACGCAAGAAAGTAAGCACAAGATGTCGAACACCCATAGCAGGATGCAGCGCACCCTTCATGCGATTCACCGAATACGTCACGGCGCTTCGCGCTTGGTGATTTGAGAGCCTGGTCCGGTGAGAACCCGGCGGGCTCCTTCCCGGCTTTGTTGGGATGCGAGGTCAATGGTCTAACGACTACGGCATGTACGACTATGAGTACACCCCCTCCCCCTTCGCGCTGCCGCCGATAGGGATTGTGGCGAGTGGATCATCGAGCAATTTATTTATGTAGCTGGACAGAGGTTTTGGAGTTTTTAATACTAAGCGGTCGGGGCCCGCCAAAATCAACAAAGGTTTGTACAGTTTGAACGTATCGGAAATAAGTACTGTATGAGTAATTGCAACAACTGTAGTCAGTTGGGGTCAAAGTGCTACTATTCGTGACGAATTTGCCTAATTTTTTTCGCATCCAATTTTTCACGACAAATATCATCGAAATTGCCGTCGAGGTTTTATATCCATCACACCTGGAAGCTCCCATCGAACTCCAAGTAGTTCCATCAACTTGAACCGCATTGAGTGTAAAGTGCAATAATTCGGTGCAAGTCGCATCAACATGCGTCAAAGTCACAAAGAAATATTGATCGTGTTGATGGCATTTGCGTCAATTATTGTGGACGTTTTACCATGACCCGCATAAAACGTGCAACATAAACCCATCAGCAGTCGCCAGCTGTAATCAAGACTGATCCTAGTTGCTATGCGAATTCCATACGAAAGTCAAATAGTGTGTATTGCCCGCCGTGAACGTACAGTACCTTTTGCCCACACTGCACATTGTCAAATGTTCCAACCCCGGCGGGGCAAGATCCCGCAACACTGAGACCGACCACAAGGAAAACGTTATGTTGAAATTCGTTGGTCATAGCACCTGTACGTTTATACTTGTGACGACCTACTGGAGGACAAACGCCTCAAGCACTCCTTTGTGCCCAATGTCACCACGTTCGGGTGGTGGTAGTTGCCACCGCCGCAGCAAGGAAGCTCGTGTATTGACAAGTAGAGTCAAATATTGGACGCCCCACCCTCAGTGGGCGGGGGGGCCAAAATGTGAAAGAGGGCGTTGCTGTCGCAAGGCGACGCGACAGGAGAGGTAACATGAACGGCACCTTCAGGTGATATATATTTCCAGTCATGTTCCGGCATTTTCAAGGCTATGTGAATACGTGCAACTGGTGAGAGGTGNATCCCTTCCCTCGCGACTTACGTAGTCGATTATGGTTTACTAACAAACGAGCTTTGCAGCGCGTCGCTTTCATCCTAGACCAGGATTTATTTTGTGAGAAAAAAAACTCTCTCTGTCGGGACTCGAACCCATGACCTGGCCCTTGGCAGGCTGCGAGGCTACCAACTAGACCACCGGGTATGATATCCTCTGACTGAAAGGGTCTGGGAAGAGGGGCATGTATGTGGTGAAAAATGCATGCACGGACAAAGAGGAGTTGCGATATTCTTGGTAGTGATTCCTCTGGTGAAAAATGTATGCCCAGAGAAAGAGAAGCTTAGGATATCCCGTTACTCGGAAGGGTCTGTCAACACGGGCAAGTGGTGTAAGATGGGTCAACAGTCCAAGACAAAGACTTTTAATACGTCTGGCACTTTGGAGGGTTTGCTCAGACTGCCAAGTGGTGTAAGATGCAAGTTAAGTGGAGATAAAGACAAAGGGCTTAGATACCTCCGACACCCCCAAGGGTCTGTGAACACGGGAAACTGGTCTAAGATGGAATGACAGCCTAAGACGAAGGATTGACGATATCTGTGGCAAGACCACGTGTCTGTGAAGGCGAGCAACTGGTGTAAGATGCAACCATTGTAGGCGGGCCACAACTCATGTTCCCACGAATGGGAGAGAAAGAGAAGAACTTATTGGACAAAGACAAAGGGCTTAGATACCTCCGGGACCCCCACGGGTCTGTCAACACGGGCAATCACATGTAATACGTCTGGCTTGAAACGATCTGCCAAAATAGACACATGATTCGGCATGCACGACAATGGAAATGAATAAAACGAAAAAAAGAAAAAGCAGGAGACACCGAAAAGGCAATGAAACCGCCACGAGAGAAGAAAGAAGCCTAGGAAAGATTCATCCAGTGGTACGTCGCGACTTAAAATGGGACAGCAGTCCAAAGCATAGAAGAAGAAATCGATGTGCTGTAGCACGCCGAAGGGTGTATCAACACGGGCAACTGGTGCAAGATGCAAGCATTGTGGGTGGGTCACAAGTCATGTTCCCGCACGAATAACAACATATTCGCACGATTGAGAGCGAAGTATCTGATTGAGAGCGAGATCGTGCGATACGATGTACCTTGTCTACTGCTGAGAGGTAGAGCTTGCTGTGCGGCTTGAATTTAAGGGCTTGCCTATAGCTACAAGCCGATACCCGGGTCATCCTGCGGGTGTCTCGCGTTGTGGAGCTACACCGCGGAGCAGAAGCTACGGGAGGGTCAACCGCGCCAGGCGACGGCGCCCTGAAACAGTTTCGGGCAGGAATAGCCAATCTGGGGAAATCTAGCAACGTGCGTAGCTCCTCGCTGCTGCAGCCGATCGCAGTGACACGCATATCCACGCGAAGCTGCTGAGGAGAGCTTCAATTGCGCCGCTTTTTGGAAGCCCGTCCCCTGCTTCCCGAGAAATGACGGGAGGCGTCTGGATCCGAATTTCGATTTTTTTGGGTTCTCACTCTCAATCGGAAACTTCGCTCTCAATCGTGCGAAAACCCTGTTGAACGTAGGACAGGAAAAGGAAGCACTTATTGTACAAAGACACAGGGCTTAGATACCTCAGGCACCCCCAAGGGGCTGTCAAGACGGGCAATCACATATTGTACGTCTGGCTTGCAACGGTCTGCCAATATTGATATATGATGCGGCGTGCACCACAATGGAAATGAAGATAACGATAAAAAGGACAATAGGAGCCGATAAGGTAATGGAACCGCCACAAGAGGAAAAGCCTAGGAAAGATTCATCCAGTGGTACGTCGCGACTAAATATGGGACAGCAGTCCAAAGCTAGAAGAAGAAATCAATGTGAGAAGGCAAACGATGGGTCGAAGAAAATATAACGACAACAGTTATTAATCGGTGTCGTCGGCAGCATCGATGAGGTCGTCGTCATCGGAGATAACGTCGTCGTCTTCCGGGTCGTCATTGCCACAGTGGCTGTCGAGGATGGAGCTGTTGTCGGTGTCGTTGTTGTCGTCGTCGCTAGAAGACGTGTCGGAGGGAGGTGCCACCGGCTTGTTGCTGTGCTTGGCGTTGAAAGATGACTTTTTGTTGGAGGCGGATGCGGATGATTTCCGTTTCGAGTTGGAGCGGTCGGCCGCGGTACGGTCGTCGCTGGAGCGGTCGATGGTGGTTCGGGCGTTGGATGTTTGCAGGGTCGCTATCGACGGCGACCACTTGGTAAGCCGACCTCCGGTTCTGACGCCACTTATTTTTTCGACAGCTGCGACGTACTTGGTCCCAATGAACCAACCCGAGCGATTCTTCTGTTCGTCAGAATCGAGGTTGACGTACTCCTCGCCGTCGCAGAGGGTTTCCTCTAGAACCTATTGCGAGCAGGGGAAGAGATCGACAGGGGAGGCGGATGGAAATCGTTAAATGAATAGCGTGACGGTGTGTCACAGGCGGAGGACACGGTGTGTGTGGAAGCATGGTGTTGACGAGATGAGAGAGCAAAATGGAGTAACGGCGGGCGTCGGGCGGGTATCGGTGGTAATCTCGAAGGGTTATGCAACGTAGAGTGAAACTACAAAATGGTACATGATAATAATCAATTTCTTGAACACGAAAAGTCGTGGCTAAGAAGGTGCGAATACTAAGAAGTCCCTGGTATTGATGGACATGGTTGATGGGATGGGAAGGCCATCCGGGGAAATGGGGCCGCAGTCATGGGCTGAGTTCATGGGGATGACGGTGAAGAGGGTCGGAACCATGCCATACGTGTTGTGGACGTGGGGGTCGGTCTTGTTGGAACAAGTTATGGGGAGGGCGTCGGTTGGGTTGGCGGTGGCATTGCAGCCGTTTTGGCCACACTTCATGCGAACGATGGGTCCGGAGGAGGAAAAGTAGAGGGTGAGGGAGTAGAGGCCCTCTAGCGTCTGCTGAGCGGCGAGGCGCTCGGTCCTCAGTCTGTCGAAGACTTGGGTATCAAGGTGGTCGTACGTGTAGTTGGGATGATGCAGTAGCCACTGGATGTTGGTGTGGTCGCCTTTCCTCGTGGAATGATATGTTCTGGGACATGGGAAGGAATGATGAGTCAGGAAAACTCGTAAAGGGTAGGAGAAAGCGAGGTAGTGGGTGGTCGTTAACATGAAAGGAGGAACTCAAAGAAAGAGTGAGGCATTCGATTTCCCACCGTTCAGTATCGGAATTGCATGTGTTTTCGGGACATCACCACGATAGTACCACTGTACAAGACGTCGAGTTGTGTCCCACAGCAGTACATATGTGTGTTTCCGAAAAAGACCCCCTGCGCAAGAAAAAAAATTGGAAAGAAAAACATTTTGCCTTGACCTTCACATCCTACCGGTAAAGGTCCTATCGGTCATATTCAACTTAACGAAAATACAGCTAGTGCAGTAATCTTATCGTCAGAATTTTTCATATTCAACGGTGTTCGCCCTCATACCTTCCTTGGACGGAGAGAAGATGATCTCCGAACATTTTCTTGAGCTCACTATCTTCTACATTTAAAGAAGCGGAATTAGAGCGACAGTTGTAGGCCCGCGAGTTTTTGCGAAACTTGACAGCCCAATCTTCGACAGAGGTGTACATCTCCTCCATCAGCGGCGGGAGCGGCGGCAGTAGTGGGAGAATACCTTTGCCGTCCTTACAGCACATGCCCTTGGATTCCTTGGCAAAAAGCTTGGCACCACAATGCTGACAAGGTTGGGCGTACTTCAGGTTGATGCCCGCATGGTCACGTGCGGCAGCTAGGGCTTCTTTACGCCGGACAAAAGCGTCTGATGGTCGGACAGGCCATCATCTTCTTCTACACGGAACAGTTCTATCTCCCACACACTCCGTTTCTCTGCTACTACTCCACCTCTAGCAGCACGTTGGTCTGCCCGCCTCTGGCGTCGGCGTTCGTTGATGCCTGCCTTCTTGATGTCGTGACTCTGGCGTCGGCGTTGCCACGGTAATGTACGACAGTCTGGATGCCACCAGCAGCTTGGGATAGCACCTGGGTGAATTCCTGTCGCGTAACGATCACGTCTCCATTGATTTCCCGTCGAATCCCGCCCGTGCGTCGTCTCAGTTACGCCAGGATTCAAGAGCCAACATGCGGGAAGAGCATGGTGGAACAGTCGCCAAGGCTCTCCTTCTCGTCGGGGGATTCGTGGCCAAGGCATGTGCCGAAGGCTCGAATATTCCCATGGATCACATAATGCGGCACTTGTACTCCTCGTCCGCTGTCTGCGCGGATGAAGCGGATGCCTGCATTGCGTCTACCAGTTGCGTGTCTTGCGACGAGACCTTCTTGGGAAATTTCGACGGATGCTTTGCTTCGTTCAGCAGCGCCTCCACATGCGATGACTTTTTCGACGCCTTGTGCTGTACGGTGGAAGGCTGCGAGGACAACGAGGAATATGCCGACATCGTGGGTACGTGCACAAAGGTGGCCTCTCGCGCCGCGTTTTAGGTAACGACAGCTGAGAGTAATGATGACTCGCCTCGCTGTATGAGTCTCGAGTTCGCGACACGGGTATCGTTGTGATCATAAGATTTGCACGCTCAGATCGGCAAAGGCAGTCGGAAAACATGTTTAACGTCTATCTTATTGACTGGAATGTGAATGTTGGCATGAATGAAGGTGCTGTACCTGTACATGTACTCGCCTTTGGAGTATCGAGTTTGCGACAGGGGCGTTGTAATTGAGAGACTGACGCGCTGCAGGTTGCGAAGAACGGCGAATAATACGTCTTAAGGCGACCCCAGACTGATGAACCGATAACCAAACGTCTCCGTTGAAGAGTGGAATATTGGTTGAACTCTCGCGTCTCAGGGCTCAGACACATTTGTAGTGGCGGCCATGAGGAGGTCTCTCACATATCTGTTTGTGAGTCTTTCGGTAACCTGGCAAGAAGGCTTCCACGGGTGACCGGAACCCGACCGGCTGGTGGCAAGTCGACTCACTTCTTCATATTCTTGTGCGCCTCAATCCACGAATTAAAACAACCCAAATATAGAAAGTGCACCTTCAACATCTTCATCGCTTAGATGCAGCAGCATTGGTTTCATGCCATATCTCTATTCATCATTGTTATCATTCCGGGCCACCTTTGTACAGGCCCCAGTGGCGAAGCAGTGCGTGGTCTGCACGCTTTCGTGCACGTGCTGTGCTCGTGAGCGGTGAGGTTGTGATCAATGCGTTGCACCCCTCCCACCGTTCGGTTCTCTCCCGTTCGTTATATTGTGGGGTAGGCTGTGTATATGCGGACCTTGGTTGCGGAGTCATTGACATCGGTGATTGTCCAGGAGGCAGCGGAGCGACAGATTCCGGCTCCGACACCACCACGGACTCCACAACCTCAAGCAGCGATTGTCCCACCGAAGTCTCGGCTTGTAGCGCGGATAACGAGTGCTTATTCTGCACCCAGGCGTACGTTGACACCGCGGAGGGATGCTTTGCTTCAGCGACTGGTTCCACCTGCGACGATCTTGAAGAAGCTGTGTGCTGTGCGGTGGATGGCTGCGAGGACAACGTCGCGCTCAATGACCTCTTAGGTGCGTTCCTGGTTGTCTTGTGTCTGCAAAAATCTCTGGGAGTGTTGTGATTGACGGCAGATGCCAGGGGCGTGATAGGATCGAAACTCTTCAAATTGATTGTGACATTGAACTGCCACCGGCGGTCGGCATAGGCCGAGGTTGGACAAAAATGGATTCCAGTCATGCCGTCCGGCGTCGCTCATGTCTCGCCATGTCTGCAACGGTTGCGAATATCATCACGATGTCGCCATTTTTGCTGCTAACGCTGTTGTGTGCCCCCTCCCAACTCACTTGGTGCTCACGCTGCCTGTCTGGTCAGCCTGCTTGAATTCGGATTCTCCCTGCTCCATCGACATCGGAGATTGCGCATCAGACGGAAGCCGGGGCAATTACGGCTCCGACACCACCACCGACACCGATTCCGCGGGCTACCTGACGACACCGACAATCACTCCCACAACCGACAGCATGTACCCCTCGATGACGACGAGCGAGACCGAATGCGCCATTGAAGTGGAGGCTTGCAACGATGACACGGAGTGCGTAGACTGCGCCACGTCGTATGCTGCACTCGTGGAGGGATGCATTGAGTCAGCGGGTGGTACCACCTGCGACGATCTTGAAGGAGCTGTGTGCTGTGCGGTGGATGGCTGCGAGGACAACGATGCGCTCAATGACCTCTTAGGTGCGTTCCTGGTTGTCTTGTGTCTGCGGAAATCGCTCGGTGTGTGTTGAAAATGACTGTGCATGTCCGGGGCTTATTTGGATGGAAACCTCGACCTCTGCACGAGGAATTGACATTTGTTGGTGATCGCCGGGCGATAAATACTGAGTATATGTCAGAATTGATTCCAGTTGTAGCTCCCGTAACCCGGCCGGCGTTTCGTATGTCTCGCCATGTCTACGACGGTTGCGAATGCCACCATGCGGTCAACATTATTACCACTAACACTGTTGTGTGCACATATGGTTCTCGTGCCGCCTGTCTGGTCAGCCTGCTCCATTGCGGATACTGGTTGCTCCATCGACATCGGAGATTGCGCATCAGACGGAAGCCGGGGCAATTACGGCTCCGACACCACCACCGACACCGATTCCGCGGGCTACCTGACGACACCGACAATCACTCCCACAACCGACAGCATGTACCCCTCGATGACGACGAGCGAGACCGAATGCGCCATTGAAGTGGAGGCTTGCAACGATGACACGGAGTGCGTAGACTGCGCCACGTCGTATGCTGCACTCGTGGAGGGATGCATTGAGTCAGCGGGTGGTACCACCTGCGACGATCTTGAAGGAGCTGTGTGCTGTGCGGTGGATGGCTGCGAGGACAACGATGCGCTCAATGACCTCTTAGGTGCGTTCCTGGTTGTCTTGTGTCTGCGGAAATCGCTCGGTGTGTGTTGAAAATGACTGTGCATGTCCGGGGCTTATTTGGATGGAAACCTCGACCTCTGCACGAGGAATTGACATTTGTTGGTGATCGCCGGGCGATAAATACTGAGTATATGTCAGAATTGATTCCAGTTGTGGCTCCCGTAACCCGGCCGGCGTTTCGTATGTCTCGCCATGTCTACGACGGTTGCGAATGCCACCATGCGGTCAACATTATTACCACTAACACTGTTGTGTGCACATATGGTTCTCGTGCCGCCTGTCTGGTCAGCCTGCTCCATTGCGGATACTGGTTGCTCCATCGACATCGGAGATTGCGCATCAGACGGAAGCCGGGGCAATTACGGCTCCGACACCACCACCGACACCGATTCCGCGGGCTACCTGACGACACCGACAATCACTCCCACAACCGACAGCATGTACCCCTCGATGACGACGAGCGAGACCGAATGCGCCATTGAAGTGGAGGCTTGCAACGATGACACGGAGTGCGTAGACTGCGCCACGTCGTATGCTGCACTCGTGGAGGGATGCATTGAGTCAGCGGGTGGTACCACCTGCGACGATCTTGAAGGAGCTGTGTGCTGTGCGGTGGATGGCTGCGAGGACAACGATGCGCTCAATGACCTCTTAGGTGCGTTCCTGGTTGTCTTGTGTCTGCGGAAATCGCTCGGTGTGTGTTGAAAATGACTGTGCATGTCCGGGGCTTATTTGGATGGAAACCTCGACCTCTGCACGAGGAATTGACATTTGTTGGTGATCGCCGGGCGATAAATACTGAGTATATGTCAGAATTGATTCCAGTTGTGGCTCCCGTAACCCGGCCGGCGTTTCGTATGTCTCGCCATGTCTACGACGGTTGCGAATGCCACCATGCGGTCAACATTATTACCACTAACACTGTTGTGTGCACATATGGTTCCCGTGCCGCCTGTCTGGTCAGCCTGCTCCATTGCGGATACTGGTTGCTCCATCGACATCGGAGATTGCGCATCAGACGGAAGCCGGGGCAATTATGGCTCCGATACCACCACCGACACCGATTCCGAAATCGATAGTACGACCGACATCGATAGTACCGCTGCTGACGACGGCGAGAGCACCAGCAGCACGCCCCTCCCCATCGGCGATGACGACGAAGACGAGAACGACGCGACCGAAGACGCGGACCCGACCAACACCGAGTCATCCGCCACCCGTTCCGCTGCGGCAAAGGGAGGTTCGGCCTTTCTTTGGCTGATCGCCACCGCTGCACCCAGCCTCTGGCGCCGCTTCTAGTAACGAATCCTAGCAACTATCCCACGTAGCGAGACGCTTCGCCAAACACACCAATATTTATCAACTCCTGTAGTCCTCTTCACATTTGCTGCTGGTTGGTGGTTTGAGCCAGTTCTTTGATGAACGCTTGAGTGCGTGCGGGTACTACTCGATGCCGCTGGCAGGACGAAGCTTCGTAACGGTGACTAGTATGTTTGCGCGGCAGATTGGCGTGCTGGAGCGGGAAACAGCAGGGCCCTCACTTGTGATGTCCTTATTTTACGCCGAAAGACAGTTGTAAAGTATGGAGTCGGCAATTTAGGGGGCATGGGTCAACGAAACCTCTCTCTCCAACATCTTCGCGTAGGTAGTCCCAGTAGGAGTATCTCACGCTGTTGCCTCGTAGAGACAGTGAAGTAAGCTTCTTCGTGCCCTTTTTGCGTGGTTCCCTCGGATCGAAGTGATGATCTGTAGAGTGAAACTAGTCCTGTGTGGGTAGGAGGTGCACGGCCGGGGCGTACGTTGATTCTGTGGGGATGGTCGTCCATCACACGGATTTTTTAAGAGTATATTCAAGCTACGTACAAGGTCTCCCTCAGGACGCGGGTGTCAAGCGTTCCGTGGGTATGTACAATGCTTGACGAATGTGTGTAACTTCCATGGAGATAAAATTTTTTCCATGGTGAGCTGGGTGAGTTTGAATTCCATGGAACCACACCAAGTGACTTCCATACACGTTTAAAGAACTTCACTGCGTGAACGTTTAGATAGGCAAGATTCACGAGGGACTTGCAAGGAAGCTGAACTCCCATGGAAGCTAGTGGAAGTCGACAAGCTTATTCTCGGCCGCTTGGTGGGTTCCATGAAACCAAATTCACCAACTTTCATGGAAATCAGCCCCGTTCTCGCAGCTTTTAGCAAGTACCACTTGCGACTTCCATGGAAAATGTTTTGGCGTAAATTCCGTGGAAGTTTGTCGCCCGAGTCCATCTTCCAATGGAAGTTTGTACGAGGATCTTCCATGACAATCTTTCACTCTTTGGAATTCCCGCTTCCTTCCATGGAAGTCATCGTGACGGACGTAGAGGATATTGCATCGAAAGCATTCAGCAGCATTGAGGTTTCGGCAGGTTTGACCGCGCATCCGTTGCAGACGTCGGCGGTTGAAGAAACATGACAAAAGGCTGGGACGTGTTATCGGCTAGCGAAACCTCTACTATGCGTGTGCGCATGCCCCATGTCGTGCCGGTGCAGTGCGGGCGGCGCCTAGGGTGTTTTTTTTGGACAAGGGCTCACCGCCGCCCTTAATTTTCTTTCTTTTTCTTGAACGGTGGAGGCATCAGGAGCTGCATCTATCCACACTCGCCGTTCCGTGCCTTCTCGACAGCAGTGAGGTAGTTTTGGCTCTGGCCCTACTATTCGAGACCACCTCCTCGATGTGGTAAATGGCCCGATGTTTTTGCGGTGCTTGCCGCAGACGTCATGGGTAATGCCCTGCCTGTTCACTAGCTACTCTGCTTATGCGGTCTGCAAGTGGAAGCACTATGGAGACACGTTTGTTGCCGTCGGTTTTTGCGGTGGGGGGTTCCACTTAGTTCCAAAATTTTGTTCCCAAGTGTCCAAATATTTGGAGTCGAAAAATTGGAACCAACATGTTCATTGTAAACGCGCTGCAAGGCAGCATTCCAAATCATTCTCGCCGCATGTGACGGCGAGTGGGCATGCCCCTCAAAATACACGCACGCCACAGATAACGGCCCCACACGCGCAACACCATGGTAGGGTCCAACACAGAGAGGGGTAGTAGTCACCAAGGGCAAATCCCGGCAGGATTCAGCGAGCAGGGCGGTTAACGGCGCTGCTGTAGGACCAGCCGCATTCGGTTTCCCTGCTCGGCCAACCGCCAGGCAACACCTCCGGCCAAGGCGAGCAAACGCGAAACAGCAAGACGCCGAGGGCATGCCCTACTTGCTGGATAGCGTCAGCCAGGTTATTGAAAGGAGAAGCCATCATGTCTCGGGCGTCGAGGCTGCAGCAGCAGGTGCGTGAGAAGCTTGTTTGTGTCTCTCTCGCCATCTGTCCACATACACCGGTCGCCCCGGTGATCCAGTGGGTAACCTCACAGCCGGCTAAGGCCCAGGTCATGGGTTCGAGTCCGGGCAGAGTGAGATTTTTTTCTCACTAAATATATCCTGGTCTAGGATGAAAGCGACGCGCTGCAAAGCTCGTTGTTAGGGGTATTATAATCAGGCCGAATAAATACGTAACTTTTTTCACCGAATAGTAACATTTTTCACGGAACCGTAACTAAGGCACGAAGGCGCGTATTTTTTCAAAATTTACGGAAAGCGCCACGGCTCGACGTATGGTCCGTGCACAAGTAAAAATCCCAAAATTTCCCAGCACAAATGACAACTTTTCTCTGCACACAGGTGGNGTAAAAATCCCAAAATTTCCCAGCACAAATGACAACTTTTCTCTGCACACAGGTGGTTGTTCGGAATTCTGAAAATACCGGAAAACGCCCTGTTTACAGGCGCATCGCGTGACGGAGAGTTTTTTTTTTTTCCTTGACTTTTTATCTCCGATAAACCGGAAAATCTTGTTTTGTTTTTCGAGAGGTGTATTGTTTGTTAATGCCACCAAACTCAACGGTTTTGGACAGATCTCGGAATTTGCCAGGTGGGATTTTTTTTTT